AAGTACCTGGCACACCTTGAGGGGCCACATTGGTAGATCAAAGCAGGGTGCAGGCCGAGAGAGGCAGGACCTGGGGCACATGCCTTTATTAGGGTCTGTGGGTGAGTGCTTTGGGGCTAACACGGTATTGTATTGGTTAATTCAAACCAAAATTAATGTGGCTTGGTAAGGCTTTGGTAAGCCCTGTGAGGGGGTCTTATTTAAGAGGCACACAAGGAAAGTTCTTGGGAGGCCGGGAAGACTTGATCACAGGGGCTGTTCGGGGAGTCGCCTCAGGAATGTTCACTTGCTTGTGACTCTGCAGGCTATTTTCTAGGGCATATACTTGCATGATGGAGCTAGTGTCAGTTTAAGTCCCCTCTCTCCCCAAAGCCTCTTAGCCACACAAAATAATGCTGAAACAGCAATACCATTGAGTAGCTTAGCTAAACTCTCAACACATGGATACACCATGATTTGTTTATTCGTCTGTTGCTGAATGGTTAGGTAATTTCAGTTTGGGGCTTTTGCAAATAAAGCTGCCATGAACATTCAGATACAAGTCTTTGTGTGGGCATATGCCTTCTTTCCCCCTGGGTAACTACTTAGGAGAGGAATGGCTGAGCCATATGGTAGGTATATGTTTAATTTTTTGAAAACCTGCCAAAACCATTTTCCAAAGTGGATGTACAATTTCACATTCCTGCCAACAGTGTATGAGAATTGTAGTTGTTCCACATCTTTGCCAACACGTGGTATGGCTGGTCTTTTCAATTTTAGTCATGATTGTAGTACGCAATGGTGTCTCATTGTGGTTTTAATTCCACTTCCCTAATGTCTACTGATGTTGAATGTCTTTTCATGTGCTTATTTGCTATTTGTATATCTTCCTTGGTTAAGGGTTTGATCAGATCTTTTTCCCATTTTCTAACTGAATTGCTTGTTCTCTTGTTACTAAGAATAATATATATATATATTCCATCTGAAACATTTTACTTTTCATCTCTAGAAGTTCAACACGGGTCTTTGTAAAAAAATATGTCTTCCATGCCTCCATTTAACATGAGAAGTCTTTCCTCTACCTGTTTGAATGTATGTAATGTAACTGTTTAATATCCTTATATACTAATTCTATTATTTGTGTTTACACCTTTTTTGTATTGATTCATTTTTTTCTCATGATGTGTCATAGCTTCCTCCTTTCCCCCACTTCTTCCCTCCTCCTTATTAGACCCCTGATAGTGTGAATTTTACCTTGTTGAATGCTGCATATTTTTGTATTCCTATAAATATTCTTGAGTTTTATCCTGGGTCACAGTTAAGTTACTTGGAAACAGTTCGATACTTTCAAGTCTTGCTTTTAGCATCATTAGGTGGTACCCAAGCAGCCTTTAGTCTATGAATAAGTGTGCCCTACCACTCAGAACATGATTTTAAATACTTTGCCCAAAGCCAAGTTTTTCTACTCTAGTCAGTGGGAACGCTATCTATTTCTGCTGGTGAGAGCTCCCGGCATTTCCCCCTGTGCTCCTTTTGGGTGGTGTTTTTCTCTGTCCTACATTAGTTTCCTCACTTGCCTCTGCTCAGGTGGACATTCTGCCATCTCTGGAGCTTTCTCTGTGGTAGCTGTCTCCTCTCCTGCACTCCACTGTGTCTCTCTGATACCCAACTCTATCTCCTAAACCCAGGGGGACTCCTGGTCTCTGCTTGGGTTCCCCCTTCCTTCCACGGTAAGGTAAATGTTAACAATAGGGAAAACTGGGTGTGGGGTATTTGTGAATTCTCTGTACCATCTCCTTAGTTTTTCTGTAAATATAAAATTGTTCTGAAAATAGAGACTATTTTTTTAAAAATAAAAGAATCCTGACACCCTAGAGCAAACATGTTTCTCTCGTGCACTAAATACCCAAATGCTCACCATCCACTGAGCCTGTTCAGACAACAACAGTAAAATTTCGATTGCTCCTAGGGTCTCGACTTAATTTCTTCTCCCTCATGTAAATTGCACTGTAGCCTCAAAACTCTTTCCGGGTAGTAAGCTGAGGCAATTGTAGGGCTTACCTTGTTTATTTCCCCATCTCACTGCCCCGCATTGCCTGGTATCTAATGTCTGAAAATCATTGTTTCACGTATTATTTTGTTGGGTTTTTTACCTGTTTCAGGTGGGATAGTGCATCCAATCTCTGACACTTTATCTGCCCAGAAGTAGAAGTTACTTTTTATGTGGTTACTGTTATAGTCATAACTTCTTTGCTTTTTTGTTTGTTTGTTTCACCATTTAAATGTACATCTCTAGAGAGTGTAATTAATTCTTACCAATTTAAAAAGTATGATATTGTCTTTAAGACTATTTTAATCTGTAAATTTACTTCTCCATCCTTTTCATTTCTTTACAGCGTCACTAAAGGGAAGTGGGTGCTGAACTAAGTAAATTTGGAAGAGTGGGATCTGTAAAACCAAACGCAAAAGGAACTTCACATAAGCACCGTACTCTAGTTGATAAAGTCATTCCCATGAATGTACTGGTTAACAATTCTGATGCTACTGTACATGTACAATGGAATTGAACAATTAAGTAAATGGATGGCACAGAATGAGAGCTAACTTTCTCACTGTTGGAGTGGGATTCAGATAAGCAAGGGGTAGGGATTGAGGAGAGGCTAGAGTGATTCATTTGGTAATGGATTAGAATTGCAGACACTCGTAAGAACTCATGTGTAAATTATTATAGATACAGATGATTATATATAGAAATATTTATTGATATGTGTATATACGTAAGTGATATGCACATGTATATTTCTTTGCTCTGTCAGCTGAGAAGACTCAAGAGAAACAATGCCTTACTCCTAGTAACAAGTACACCTAATGCCCAGATCTTGGTTTCTAATGCCACTTCCAATAACTAACCAGGGTTCCTTGGAGTAATGGCTGATTTTCGGACTAGCTAAGAAATAAACGAGATGAGCCTGGGACATCTTGTAGTGTCAGAAAGTAAGGAAGTACAAAAACCAACAACAAAACAAAATAGAATATAACAAAATACCACATTCATGTGGTTCTGTCGAAGGAGCAAAAGAGCCACATGAGAGTTGCCAATGGCCAAAGCTGGAACAACTTGGGCAACAAAATAAAGTAGTATTGAATTATCACAAGTATAAAATAAATATCTGTGAGTCTATATTGATATAAATAAATGATTGAATGAATAAATAAATGGGAGAAGAGACAAGTCTCCCATGGAGAAGAATTCCAAATAATTTATGTAGATACTCAACCCTCGAGGAGAGGGACCATATATCTCCACTCCTTACATATGGGTTGTGCACACTTCCTTCCAAATGTACATTATGGAAACGGAGAGGAAAAGAGCAACTTTACAGTGAGTAAACTTGACAAACACTACCTCAACCAGGTAATCAAGATCGACATCAACAGTGATAAGTCATGTTGATGGTATGCAGTCTTAATGTGATGTGATGAAAATAACACTTTACCTCTGTGATCCTCCTTCAAAAACCCGTGGCTGTTGGGGCTTCCCTGGTGGCGCAGTGATTGAGAGTCCGCCTGCCGATGCAGGGGACACGGGTTTGTGCCCCGGTCCGGGAAGATCCCACATACTGCAGAGCAGCTGGGCCAGTGAGCCATGGCCACTGAGCCTGCGCGTCCAAAAAAAAAAAAAAAAAAACCCATGGCTGCAGTCGAATCATGAGGAATACATCAGACAAATACCAACGGAGGAATAACCTACAAAATACCCGATCGGTACTCAAAACTGTCAAGATCATCAGAAACAAGGTAAGTCTGAGAAACTGTCACAGCCAGGAGGAGCCTAAGGAGACACGACAACTAAATGCAATGCGATATCCTGGATGGGAACCTGGAGCATAGAAAGGAATTAAGTAGAAGCTAAGAAAATCTGAATAAATTGTGGACTTTAATTAATAATAATACATCAGTATTTGTTCATTAAGTGTTTCTTCTGAAGCTATTAACCAAAGAGTTTCCTACAACAGTTGAAAGAACTTCCTGAGCAATTTGTGTGCCGGCCTACCCTACCATTCTACCTATTATTGGCGCCACTAGTAGCAGTTCCCGCTGTGTTTACAGGCTTCTGAAGAGAGCGTGTCATAGTGGTACTTCTTCCCTGAGTAGATAATTGAATAGACTGTTTTCTCATTCTGAATAAGAGAGCATCAGGCCTCCCTGACATCACATATTAGACTCTTTCAGATACTAAGAAATAGGGACATAGTTGGGCTACCACAGTTAATGGGTTTTATTCTAAAGATGGAGGAAGAAAGGGAAATAGGAAGTGTTTTCAGCAGCCACAAAACCAGGATCATGAAGAAACTCATGAAACCCTACGCAAACCTAGGGTTGCGTACAATGGAAACTCATGTGTTCTCTGCTTCTGCTTCTACGGCTCCTACCCCGGCCAACTAACTGACTGATTTTCCCACATTCAAACTACCCAAGTGACAGGATCTAATTTGCTCTGCCGATCACAATCCAATTCAGACTACTTTTGGTGAAAGCTCTTTTGCCAGGCTATCTTTCAAGTTGCTAGCCAGCCTGTAGACAACTGCCTTTGAGTCAGGTGCCCATGCGAGTCTAGTCACCTGCAGCCAGGAGATGGGGTCATACTAAAGTACAACAATTAATTCATTAGGAAGCACCTAGATGGGGGCTGTAGATCAGGAGGAAACCCAGAATCACATAATCCTTTCACAAAGTTCTTTCCTGGAAACACCAATTCTTTGTAATGTACATGTATGTTTTGTGAAAAATGGATAAATCTCATTCAACAAATATTTATAAGTGATTACTAAGTGCCAGGCACAGTTCTATGCACTTAAATGTTTGGGAAATGCCAGGTTAAACAAAGTACATATATTTTTATACTGCAAAATCCTTACTGTTTTTAGTAAGCCATTATAAACCCAAGAGAAGGGCTATCATTTCTACTGTCTCCCAAATTATTAAACTAAGTGCTCTTTTTCTGAAAGGCATTTCTTAAGCCTCAGATAACACAAAGGATACATCCGGAGAAATATTCAGTTTTACCCTTGAGGATGCAGGAAATGATGCCATCGAGGGACACATGGACCGAAGTAGCTAAACTCCACAAGGTACCTCCTCTCCCATGATGAACTGCTCATCCTGGTATTCACACCCTGTGTAGTTCTCTTCCACCCTGAATTCATGCTGACCCTGTGATTTACTTTAGCCAACAGAATGTGACAGAAGCGACCGTGTATCTGTTCCAGGCTTACACCTGACAACTTGAGTCTAAGCTACTTTGCCAGAAGAACTAGAGAGAGGCCACATGAAGAAATAGAGCTTCTAATGCTATCTGGAGAAGACCAAGGAATGCAGCCAGCAGGGGGAACCAAAGCCCCAAATATCTGACCGTAGGAGAGCCATTCCAGTAAGACCCATTCAATCCATCTTAGCCCAAGTGACAAATGTGAGTGAAGCAGCCATCCTGGACATTCCAGTCCAGTCCAAGTAGAGAAATCAACAAGCCACAGCCAATCCCAATCCACGAACTGTGAGGCATAACAAAGTTGTGGTTGTTTTAAGCCAATAAGTTTTGAAGTAATTTTTTTAAACAGCAGTAGGTTAACAAAAAGTATATTAACTGTTTTGGAAAAAATATTGCATAAACTTAATATATTGTGCCTAAACTATATTTATAAACACGTGTCTGCTTTAGAAATGACCCATTTTAGAGGAAATACCTTAGATATTTACTTACAAATACTTAAATAATTTCACTGTTTACTACAATCATTTGCCTTCATTTACTTTTGAAAATAACCACTTTATCAGTAAAAATTACAAATCAAATAAAGGAAGTTATGAAATATTTAATCACAGAGAAGCCAATTTAATTATGCATATTTTTACAGTAATCAAAACTAAAATACTTTCATACAATAAGGAACTAAGCAAAAATTGTATTGAACCTGAGACATCCATTAGTTTATAACAGGCAAATCTAATTTACAAGAATATCTGCTTGTTTTAAGTTGCAACAAATATCAATAGCAATTAGGAAATTATAAATTCATAACATAAAAACAAGGTCCTAATTTCAGTGAGGGAACATTATCCTGCTATTTACAAGTTTGCGGATACTCAGGATTTGCCCTAAGACGATGAAATGTTAAACACAGTTCTCTTTCTTTCTTCCTCCTCCTCCTTTCCCCTTCCCTTCCGCCCAGCCCTCCCCTCACCCCTAATTCTTTTCTCCCCGGATGTCCAGGACACTAGGTAGGTCACACTGGTCTGAGTTTTTGTGAGGTGGTGTTCTGAGAAACCCACAGGGTCATTTCACACAAGCCAGTCCGAAGCCCATGCTGTGTTATTATGTTGTAATACTGAAAAATCGTCCCTATTTTAGGATTTGCCCCTTTCTAGGTTGAGCAATCTAGCAACATAAGATTCACAGGATCCCAAATCAAGCTCCTCACTCCTTCCATAAAAGCTGTATTCTTGGTTAACTTTATTGAGCATGACGTCCAGAGAAGTCACTTCACACAAAAATTATTCCACTTGGATATTTTAGTACATGAAATTCATGAAAGCAAGAGTTGTAGAACAAGAATTCCAATATTTAAGAGTAAATGTTTATTTTGGAATTATAAGAACACATTTCACGATAATATGAAAAGACACACTAATAACATTAAGTCCAATAAAACACAAAGTTAATGTTGTTAAAAGAAAAGGTAGAAGAAAGGAAGGCATCATGGAGCCTCAAAGACAAAGCTTCTGCTCTTCAAACCAGTGTGTCATAGTGTTTGCTATGGACTTGATATTTGTGTGTCCCCCACCCCCAAATTCATATTTTGAATCCAAACTCCAAAGTGATGGTATTAGGAGGGAGGGCCTTTCTTTGGGAGGTAATTAGGTCATAAGGGTAGTCAACTTTAAAAACATAATAGCCAGTTATATTACCAGCAAAACTGAGTTTATTCAGAAATAGCAGAGGAATTGCAATCCAGGATAGGTGAACCATGGCAGAGCACAGGCAAATCCAGAGAACGGGGAAGGGGAACTTGCCTTTATAGGGGAAAGGTGGGAGTTGGGAGGGGCTGTGGTAACCAAAGAGTCCACTGGAGTCCAAAGTATGGAGGCTTTTTATTCATTGGGCTGTCACTGTCTCAAATTGGCTGGGCTGTCATGGGGCAGAGAGTTTTCTTCTTCCTACTGGATGGTAGAGGCACCTTCCTGTTGGAAATATAGGCAGAAGTCTCTTCCTAGTTGAAGTGATGATTGATGATGTATGGCAGGATGTGAGAGCTCCCCCTACAGGCCTGTCCTGATTCCAGTTTTAGCTGAGCTTCCTCAATTAATTCCACAGGTGGAACCCTCATGAATGGGATATAAAAGAGACCCCAGAGAGATCCCTAGCCCTTTCAAACATGTGAGGACACAGTGGGAAGACACCAGCTATGAACCAGGAAGAGGGCTCTCATGAGAACTCAACCCTGCTGGCGCCTTAATCTTAGACTTCCCAACCTCCATACATAACTGTAAGAAATAAAGGTCTGTTTTTTATAAGCCACCCAGTCTGGGGAATTTTGTTACAACCAACTGAACAGACTAAGACAGTGCTTATGTCTATAGTTTCTCCAGGGCACTCATTTATGTCTCATTTCGTAATTTATGCAGAAACACAACTTGAGAACTAGATTCTTGATATATCTAGGTACAGTAACTTTAATGAACTATTTCCTCCAAAGTAAATTTAGATTTAAATTAGTGATACTGATTTGTTTCCTTCAATACAACAGCTGCTCTTAAGATACGTACAGTGGGATCTGATTTATGATTAGAAGAGGAAAGACAGTTAAAACTAGGCATTGAAAGCTAAAAGATGAAACAAAGTAAAGCAGGGTACAATTGTTACTTGGTAGCGCTCATAAATTCTTACAGGAGACAGAGAGATGAAAGTCTGCCTGAACTTACAGTACTCCTCTATTAAATGTGTGTGTACATCCCAGCATTTAACCTGGAATAGTCAGATGTAGGAAAGAAATTGAAAGGTCAAACCTGAGGAGAGTGAAGCCAGCATGTTAAAAAGAAACAAAATTCATGCAGCAAAACTTATGCTGACCTCCAAACACTGGGATGCAAGAAACAGCAAAATAATTCTCTGTTGCATTCAAGAGAAAACCTGGATAGAGCAAAAAATATATAGAAAAATATATGCAAGTATGTTTTCTGTTTCATCAAATCCTAAAAAGGTCATTTTATCTAAAGAGAAAGAAACCAAGATGAATAAAATCTTTGATATATTTACTCCATTTTTGCCTTACTCTGTGTGTGTTCGTGTGTGCATGTGCATGTGTGGTATATACACACTTATATAAAAACAAGGCCAAGTTTTTTTTTTTATTTGGACATCAAATTAGAGGTACTATAAATGTTTGTTAATCAGAAGGATTAGAGGAAAATCTGTAGTAATTAACTATTTTATTTAACCAATAAAATGAGTCAAGAGTCTTTTGGTTGCAAGTGACTGAAGACATTCAAATGCATTTAAGCGGAAAGTGACCTTACTGGCGTAAGGAAGTGAGAAGTCCAGAGGCAGTGCAAGCTTCAAGCACAGCTGGTTCTAGGTACTCAAGGGATATAAGGACTGTGTCTATTTATCTCTTGTCTCTACTTTCCACTGTGTCTATTTTACTCTCAGGAAAGTGCTCATCAAGGAGTATCAGTTTAGTCAACAACAGCTCCACGCTTGTGTCCTAGCCTAGCAACCACAGCAGAAAGAGAGGAGCCAGGAGAGGCAAGTCTGTCGTTCTAGGAAATATCCTTGGACTGAGTCTCATTAGTCTGTCCCGAACAATTTTCCTGCCTATTCTAGAACTAATCACACAGCTGGGGAGGAGGGCTGGTATGTGTATGTTCTGATTGGCCAAACTGAGCCTAAGTCTTCCGGAACTTGGGCTGGAGCAGCAGAGTAGGGAATGTTATCCCCACAGAAACTATAGGGAAAGACAGGGGGAAGGGATGATTCACTGAGGAAAACTGGGGATTCTTTGACCAGCCTAAGGAGGAATAACTACTTGGCAAGCAACAACTTCATATCAACCTGCTTAATTTCTTTCTTTCTTTCAAAGGTAGACAGCAAGGTGGGGTGAGGGGTCCAGCTATTTGTGCTCGATAGTCATTTGATTTCTAGACAAGGGAGAGGTTTTATCCAATGAAAATAAAAATAGATGGAAGTGTATAGCATGTGTGTTAAGAGCATGGATATTGGAACCAGCCTCTTGGTTTAGAAAAATCAAATGACAATGTTTTGTCACTTACCAGCTTTGTAACCTTTCTGTACCTCAATTTTCTCATCTTTAAAATGGGGGTAACAGAGTAATTACAGAAGTCAAGTATGTATTACATGCAAAGCATTTAGAATATCTGGTACTCACTAAATACTCAATAAATGGTAACTTTTTATTATCTAAAACAGAAATCCTTCAAAAGTTGTAAACATCTAATACACTTTATTTTAAAAATTTCCCAACTAATACATTTCAAAGATTAATTTCACTATTTTTCTACTGCTTCAAAGATTTGACCCTCAGCCTTCTCACATTCTTTATTCTCCCTAAAGAGTCCTGGGCATTTGCCATTTTCTCTTTCCATTGTCTATCCTCATCCATTGCGGTCCTCACACGTATGTACACACATCTTTAGTAACCTCCTCCTTTCTTTCCTTAATTTAAAAAATTCTCAGTTACCTCAGGAAACTCTCTCTTGATCTCTGGCTCCAATTTCAAAGAGTCAAGATCTTAACTGCATTTTTTTTTAAATAGTTCTTTATTGGAGTATAACTGCTTCACAATACCGTGTTAGTTTCTGTTGCACAACAAAGTGAATCGGCCACATGCATGCACATGTCCCCATATCCCCTCCCTCTTGAGCCTCCCTCCCAGCCTCCCTATCTGCTATGCTGCTGCTTCCCACCAGCCAATATTTTACATTCAGTAGTGCATCTATGTCGATGCCACTCTCACTTTGTCCCAGCTTCGCCCTCCCACCCCATGTCATCAAGCCCATTCTCGTGTCTACCTCTTTATTCCTGTCCTGCAACTAGTTTCATCAGTACCATTTTTCTTTTTTTAGATTCCTTATATATGCGTTAGCATACAGTATTTGTTTTTCTCTTTTTGACTGAACTTCACTCTGTATGACAGACTCTAGGTCCATCCACCTCACTACAAATAACTCAATTTTGTGTCTTTTTATGGCTGAGTAATATTCCATTGTATATATGAGCCACATCTTCTTTATCCATTCATCTGTTGGTGATGTCCTGGCTATTGTAAATAGTGCTGCAGTGAACATTGTGGTACATGACTCTTTTTGAATTATGGTTTTCTCAGGGTATATGCCCAGTAGTGGGATTGCTGGGTCATATGGTAGTTCTACTTTTAGTTTTTTTAAGGAACCTCCATACTGTTTTCCATAGTGGTTGTATCAATTTACATTCCCACCAACAGTGTAGGAGGGTTCCCTTTTCACCACACACTTTCCAGCGTTTATTGTTTCTAGCTTTTTTGATAATGGCCATTCTGACTGGCGTGAGGTGATACCTCATTGCAGTTTTGATTTGCATTTCTCTAATAATTAGTGATGTTGAGCATCTTTTCATGTGTCTCTTGGCCATCTGTAGGTCTTACTTGGTGAAATGTCTATTTAGGTCTTCTGCCCATTTTTTAACTAGATTTTTTTTTGGATATTGAGCTCCATGAGCTGTTTGTATATTTTTGAGATTAATCCTTTTTCTGTTGTTTCATTTGCAAATATTTTCTCCCATTCTGAGGGTTGTCTTTTTGTCTTGTTTATGGTTTCCTTTGCTGTGCAAAAGCTCTTAAGTTTAATTAGGTCCTATTTGCTTATTTTTGTTTTTATTTCTGTTACTCTAGAAGGTGGATCAAAGAAGATCTTGCTGTGGTTTATGTCAAAGAGTGTTTTTCCTATGTTTTCCTCTAACTACATTTTGAAATAATCTGTTCAGGTTACACTAATTTTGTGGGACCAATTCTAAAAGTGAACACTAGATGGCAACCTTCCTAAACTGTGCTGTTTTCCCAGGAGAGTTTCTGACCACGACAAATGTTGAGAGCCTCAAAATGGGACTGCATGATTCTTTAATTTCTTAAACTTTTGTTTGTTGTAAAAATCAAATAAGACTTTGGATCTCTCCATAAAGGATCTCTATAGTGGCTCATTCTTGAAAATAAAGTATTCCTTTTTATATCTTGCATGATCATTAATCTCTACCTTTAAAACTTTTTTTAAATTTTGTTTTATTCCTTAAAATAACGCAAATAGTAGTTGTGTCCATTTATTCATTATACCATATGATGCTTATGGCATATTAAATAGATTTAGTTCTTTGTTATATCTAATATATTTTTTATTTAATTTTATAGCCATCCAGAAATGATATTTTATATAATATACATAACAGAAGAACATATGCTTTTTTTTCTTTCTCCATGTTATCCTTATGGAAATTTGAGCTCAGGAACTGTATAATAATAGCTGAGGATTTCCTGATAGTGAGGATGAAGGAGAGCAGAGGTATGTTTTCTTTGAAAAGGGAATTGTATAACTCTCCTAAATTTCCTTAGGAAATTAAAATGTTAACTGGGAAATTATCTCTGGTAAAATGAAAATTTTATTAAATAAAAATACATGTTATTGTGGTTAAGGCAAGGAGCTTTATGACTCCAAGATAAAAATAGACAAAGAATATGAAAAATAGACTAGAGAAGAAATGCAAAAAGCCAAGTACTACATGAAAAAACGCGAAAATCACTAGCATTAAAAAAAGCAAGGGAGGGCTTCCCTGGTGGCGCAGTGGTTGAGAGTCTGCCTGCCGATGCAGGGGACACGGGTTCGTGCCCCGGTCCAGGAAGATCCCACATGCTGTGGAGTGGCTGGGCCTGTGAGCCATGGCCGCTGAGGCTGCGCATCCGGAGCCTGTGTTCCGCAGCTGGAGAGGCCACAACAGTGAGAGGCCCACGTACCGCAAAAAAAAAAAAAAAAAAAAAGGCAAAAAAAAAGCAAGGGCTTCCCTGGTGGCACAGTGGTTAGGAATCTGCCTGCCAGTGCAGGGGATATGGGTTTGAGCCCTGGTCTGGGAAGATCCCACATGCCGCAGAGCAACTAAGCCCATGCGCCACAACTACTGAGCCTACGTGCCACAACAACTGAGACCCACATGCCTAGAACCTGTGCTCCGCAACAAGAGAAGCCACAGCAATGAGAAGCCTGTGGACTGCAGTGAAGAGTAGCCCCCACTCACCACAACTGGAGAAAGCCCCCCCGCAGCAATGAAGACCCATGCAGCCAAAAATAAAAATAAACAAAATAAATAAATTTATTTTAAAAAAAAGCAAAAATAAAATTTTCTTTTGCCAAAAACAACGTTTTGGTTTTATCCCTCCTTTATAGTATAGTTAACAACTCAAGCTCAAATCCCAGCTCAGAAATCTACCTAGCTATGTGACCTTGGCCAAATTTTTTGACCTCTCTCTGCTGCAGTTCCCTAATCTGTAAAACAAGGTAAATCAGTAAAATGAGAGTTAAATGAGTTAATGAAAGTAAAGTTCTTAAAAGAGTACCTGGTTGAACTAATACTTTGGGTATACTAGGTTAAAGAAAATAACTCACCAGATAAATGACTGATTGTACAATTATATTTTTAAAAATCCAGCTAAATACTGTTTAATAGAGAGGGACATAAAACATAAGGACAGGGGCTTCCCTGGTGACACAGTGGTTAAGAATCCGCCTGCCAAGGCAGGGTACACGGGTTCGAGCCCTGGTCGGGGAAGATCTCACATGCCGTGGAGCAACTAAGCCTGTGTTCCACAACTATTGAGCCCTCGTGCCACAACTACTGAAGCTTGCGTGCCTAGAGCCCGTGCTCCACAACAAGAGAAGCCACTGCAATGAGAAGCCCGTGCACTGCAACGAAGAGTAGCCTCCGCTCGCCGGGACTGGAGAACGGCCGCACACAGCAACGAGGACCCAATGCAGCCAAAAATAAAAAATAAATAAAAATTTTTTAAAAAACATAAGGACATAAAAAGGTTGAAAGTAAAAGTAAGTGCAAAGACATATGTGGCAGATAGTAACCAAAAGAAAACTTGTTGTCATGTTAGTATTGAAATGGGGGTGGGGGTGGGTTTTGTTTTGGGGGGGAGTTTTTTGTTTTGTTTTGTTGCTGCAAAAAGCTTTACTGTTTCCATTTGGTCCAAGGCTTGGGGGAGGGCTCCAGGGTGGTTAAAAGACTGCCTAGTGGCTGCAGAGAGAGGCTTCAGGCAGAAGCCCTGGCACCAGAGGGCTCCTCAAAGGCCGCTGGGCTCCAGAGGCTCCTTCTTAGTCATGCTTGACGGTGAGCCTTTGGAAGAGGTACTCGCACAGCCCAGCCTGGGGACCAGAGAGCCATCGGAAGTTAGTCAGGTGGTTGCCCATCTTCTTGATGAGTTTCACCTCCTCATCTAGGAGGTGGCTCTCCAGGAAGTCACAGAGCTGAGGGTCTGAGCGGGCAGAACCCAGAGCAAGCAGATCTAAAAGGGCCTGGTTCAGCTTCTTCTCCATGAGAATGGCAGCTTCCATAGTGTCCTGGGTCTTATTCCACTCATCTTGAGATGGCTTCTGCCCATCCTGGAAGAGGGCACAGCCGCTGCACTGGTTTTTCATTTTCAAGAGAGGCTTGGCGCCCTCCTGCTTCTTCTCAGCCAATTTGTGGAAAACGTGGCCCAAGCCCTCCAGAGCTGTGGTGGAAATAGAAGCCCAGAGACAGGTAGGTGTAGGAGGCCGGCCCATGCAAGGTGACCGGGTGGGTGAAGGCGGCTTCCACCTCGATGGAATAATTCTGAGGAATCTGGTTGATGGGTAATAAGGAGTTAAGTTCGAAAAACAGTGCTGACTGGTCCCAGAGGCCGAGGATAACTGAGGGGCTGGTTCTGAAAGTTGCCACTGGAAAAAAGATGGAGGGTAGTCAGAGGCTTGGAGGAAGAGGCCTCCCTGGGTCTGTTCCGTCCAAACACTGTTGAAACAAGAGACAGATCTGCGGGACCTCTGAGCGCACTGCCTTGAAATAGGTTTCATGACCAAAATATAAAAAACAAAACACTAAAAACATTATTAAGAGAGACTGAGTTCATCAAGATGCTGCAACAATTTTAATTGTGTATGCATCTGATTAAAAAAAACCTTAAAAATTTAAAGCAATAGTTGATATAATTATAGGAAGAAGTTAACCATGTAATGGAAAATTTCAGTGTCCATTTGCTCATTTTATTTAATAAATGTTCTTGGGTTCCTGCATGCTAGGAACTCTTCTAGCATACATACGGCTAGAGTGAAATATAAAAATCCTCAATCTTTTGAAGTTTACCATAATGGAAGGAGAGGGGGAAACACACAAATAAATACAGTAAAATCCTATGAAAATACACCCAGGATATCATGAATTCTGAGATTATAGAATGAAGGATTTGCTCCTACCCACCACCAAACGCCACAAGTGGTAGGAAGGAAGGAGAGTAAAGTTCTTATTCTGAGGTTGGGGAATGGAATATGACAGGGGGTGAAGGGAGGAGCCTGGCAGGGAAATAACACAAAAGCCAGAGGGGAGGTGAAGTTTGAATCCTGCTAGCTCAGTGATCTACCAACTCAGTATTCCCAAACTGGGCCAACAAAACTATTGCCAACTGGCCAGCATTTCCTGGAATCACTGGTGCTTTCTTGAAGTCCAGTCAGCTGCAGACCCTGAATCCTTCCCATCAATATGTAAAGTGGAGTGGACGATCACCACTAGATGGTTCCAAACTGTAGTGGGGACCCCGATGGATTCTGGGTAATGAAGCAACAACCCAGCATTGTTCACGGTCCCCTGCCCATTTTATTAATCTCATGCTGAAAGACAAAAAAGAAATCAAAGACAAAAAGATTGGAAAGGAAGACAAAGGACTGCATTTTTTCAAAAAGGATGTGATAGCCTATGTAAAAAAATCTAAAAGACTGCTTATTAGAAGTAATAAGAATTTACCATAAGATCAATATGCAAAATTCAGTTGCATTTATATAAAATTTAACAAGTATTCAGAAAACAATTCTGTAACAACATGCACATAGAAAACATAATTTAGAAAGAGATTACATTTAAATAGCTTAAAAATAGATATCTAAAATGAAATCTAATAAAAGATATATAAAGCCTATACAGAAAAAAATATAAAATGTTATCAAAAGACACTCAGAAGACCTAAGTAAGTGGAGAAATATGCTATGTTCATGGAAAGGAAGGCTCAATTTCTTTTAAAAGAAAGTTCTCCCCAAGTTGACGTGCAGCGTTCTCCCCAAATTGATGTGCAGAGTTAATGTAATCCTAATTAAAATACCAACAGAGGTTTTGTGAAACATGACAGTTGATTCTGATGTTTACATGGAAAAGGAAGAATAACCAAGGCACTTTTCAATTTTTATTGAAGGAGAAAACTTGGTCAACCAGACACTGAAACTAATGATGAAGCCATAATAATTGAGATAGTGTTGTTTTGGCACAGAGAAGAACAAATGATCATTGAACAAAAGAGAAAGTCAAGAAAGACCCGAGAACATATGAAAACTTGACATATGACAGAGGGGAAAATGCTGATTAGTGAGGAATGTTTATACTGAGATTAAATAAATAGACGAGTTTCTTCTGATAATAAATAAATAAATAAGGAAGAAGGAAAACTTCTCCCTTATAGGAGAATCTCATGTAGAAGGAATAAGGTAGAAAATCACCATTTAGCACAAGTATAGCAGTAATTGATTCAGACAAAATTGTTAATGAATGCCAAAACTATTGGGTTGAAATTTGACGAAGATAGCTACATAGTCTCAAAGTATCTCTCCACAAATTACTTATTATTAATTACAAAGGGGAAGATAGTGCTTTTAGAGAGGATAAACCTGGAAGAGATCACCGTAACCAAGTAGACAAAGTCGACATTACCAAAAATGGAGAACACTGACACCATATGCTTTCTGAGTGTTGCATTGAAAAGGACACAACCTCATACAGTATTACTGCCAAAAGGTCATCACCTAAGTCTAACTGAAAAAACATTCCATGAAGAAAATCATGAAGAAAATCCACATTGACAGACATTCTACAAAATAATTGACCTGAACTGTTCAAATATGTCAAGGTCAAGAAATACAAAGATTGACTGAAGAACTGTTCCAGACTAAGTGAGACTGAAGAGACAATTCAACTAAATGTAATATGTGATCCTGGACTAGATCCTATAACGGGGAGATGGGCTTGCGGGGTGGAATAGAATGGCTACAAAAGATATTTATTAGGATAACTGGTGAAATTTGAAAATGGGCTATAGCTTAAATATAGTAATGCATCCGTGTTAATTTTCTGATTTTGGTAATTGAATGTCCTTGTTTTTAGAAAACATACACCCAAGGCAAAGAGGTGTAATATCTACAACTTATTCTCAAATGGTTCAGAAATAACAACAACAACCATATGCATAGAGACACAAAACAAGAAAACAAATGTGGTAAAATAATAACAATTGCTGAATTTAGTGAACGGTATACAGAAATTTTTTGTAATAGTCTTTTTTTTTTTTTGGCAAATACATGAAGTTTCCATTTTATTACAGTTTTATACCACATTAGTTCAAATGCATTTCTCTACAACTACTCCAACAGAGCTCCTCTGGAATTATTTCAGTCATCCTTAACATGTGACTTTACCAGACTCTGAATGTAAAATAAACATATAAGATTTAAAATTAGTGACTTTTAATTATGAATGGGATAAGAAATAAAGTCATCAGATGATGGCTGGGGCTATTAATTTCCAACGAGACACTTTGTTGAAATGTTTCTCCTGATACCCCAGGTATAAATGAGAACCTTCAAAGAACAAGGGCAGAACCAAAGTACAATAAAGAAGCCTCTGCAGCTTAAGCCTCCCATAGTCCTAAACCTCTGACAGAAGCTAGGCGAAGCATCTTTCTTGCAAGTGGGTGTCCAGTATTTCCATGTAGTTGAGCTTTCAGAGACAGACACTCAAGCGTATCATTAGGATATACCATCTTGGCTCTGGTTGGATTAATTATGCCTTAAGAGTTTAATACCCATCCAAGTCCAAAGGTGGAAGAACACATAAACGGGTATGGTAATCGGCAAGAGCCGACTGTAAACGCACAGGCTGGTTGTGCTAGTGCAGCCCTGTGGGAAGTTTTCTTCCACAGAGGCCGAGTATAACAGCCCTGCTAACGAGACCAATGGAATAAGGACAGTCAACGTAGGAAGAGACAGAAACATTCTTCTCCACTTATTATGCGCCACTCTGACTTTTTTTTTTTTTTCTTTTTTTGCGGTACGCGGGCCTATCACCGCTGCGGCCTCTCCCGTTGCGGAGCACAGGTTCCGGATGCGCACACTCAGCGGCCATGGCTCACGGGCCCAGCCGCTCTGCGGCATGTGCGATCTTCCCGGACCGGGGCACGCGAACTCTCAACCGCTGCGCCACCAGGGAAGCCCTTGCTTTTTTTTTTTTTTTTGCGGTACGCGGGCCTCTCATTTTGTGGCCTCTCCCGTTGCGGAGCACAGGCTCCGGACGCGCAGGCTCAGCGGCCATGGCTCACGGGCCCAGCCGCTCCGCGGCATGTGGGATCTTCCCGGACCGAGGCACGAACCCGTGTTCCCTGCATCGAGCAGGCGGACTCTCAACCACTGCACCACCAGGGAAGCCCCACTCTGACTTTTTAAAAGGTGGGTGGTATTTAGAAAATTTAGTTGTGTGTGTTGTCGTTTTCAAGTATGAGCTACTGCTGCTCCATTTCTTCTTGCTTCTTATTTTGATGTGTCATCCTAGCTGCCTGTGGTATCATATTAGGAATCCCATCAATAATTGGATAGGCTATTTCTAACTCTTCGTTAATTAATTCATTTGGCGATGCTTCATATCGGAGCGGCTTCTTGGAGAATGGGCACACCAGGAACTCCAGCAGCGCTGGGTCGAAGGCGCGGGGCGGTTCCCTTGTCCTCTCGCTCTGGTCTGAGGACGGCCGCGACACCGACGCGTGCACACACTTCTGGGCGACCGCGGGCGGCTGTGCGCGTGTCCCCCGCAGCACTGAGGCGAGCCGGCTGCACGCTCCGCTCGGCATGGCCTAGCAGCCCGCGACCGGGCCTCTGCGCGCCCGTGACCACCCTGTAATAGTCTTTAAACTTTTCTGTGTTTTAAATTATTTTGAAATAGAAAGTTTAAAAATAGCCAGGGAATAATGAATACAAAACTGAAAACAGTGGTAGCCTCTGGGAGTGATGGGAGAGGCCTGAGGGTGGGAGAGGGACCCATAGGTAGATGCAACAGTACTGATTGTGTTCTAGTTCCTAAATCAGATGATGAGATTGTGGACATTTATTTTATTATTTAACTTTCACAATTATATATACATTATGTATTTTTGTACGTGTAAAATATTCTACTTTAAAAGATAATAAAGGGAAAAACAAAGGAAAAGATAATAAGGCATGAGTCAGAGGCCATCTGATGAGCTGTGTGTGCTTATGAGCTCTGTGCCCTTAAGTATGTTTCTTTTCCTCTCTGAGGTTGTCCTCACCTACAAAAAAAGAATAAAAGATCTACTGTGTAGTTTTGTTGTAAGGCACTTGGCAATAAGTGCTAAGTGCCAGCTGCTGTTGTTATTGTCTCTGACAGAGCAGAGATAAAGGGAGTATACATACCTACAGCGGTGGGCTTGAGAAAAGTGATAGAAGTTTGGAATAGTCTTTGGGGTCAGTTGGTAAGCAGGTTATCCAGGGAATAAAACTGAGCCAGTGTTGGAAATCATCAAGTAGTTGTAGAGCCAATGAGCTTTGTGTATTTTTCCCAAGCTGCACTCCATGGTCAGGAAGTAAGACTTGGGAAAAAAACAGATCTTTGTGCTGGAAGGTCTAAAGGAGGGTCAACAAAGCAGAAAGGCTGTGGAGAGTGAGGCAGATATGACAGGTCAGAGCATCATACCTAGGCAATGAGCTTTCTCTCATCTAAAATTTTGGAAAAGGAGACACAATTTAGAAGAAGTGGAAGATAAAGAGTGAGCTGATAATTTACTAGATTAACTGGAGACTGTATGAAGCACACCTAGCAGAATAATGATTTTCCAGCCCAGCATAAGGACATCCATTCCTACCTTTTATGTATCAAATAAAAAATAATTCTATCATGATATATGTACACCTAGGTTGCACAAATTCCCTCATAGTTTACCAACATGTTATATATGAAAGTCCTTAACAAATTGCAACCAAAAAAACACAAAAAAGCAAGCAAATATGTATTGAGCTGCCACTTCATTCAAAATAGCTCTGCTGTAAGGGTTATAATTGAGGATCTAGTATCAGCCAGTCTGTGATTGATTGAAATTTTAATTTTTCAGTATTAATTGCTTTCTGAGTATATACACACAGCTAATTTCAGCCTATCGTGCATGAAATTAAACTCAGAAAGTATGAACAGTAGAGCAAATTTGATGATGCTTATACATTACTAACACTTAATTCAGTGAAGAAAATAAATAATACCAGTTTTCTGGCATCTCAGACCCCAAATGTTTTTCAATACAGATAGGATACAGAGACAGTCTGTCACCCTAAAGTACTAGAAATACTGCCAAAGAACCAATATATTAGCTGTTGGTGTATGGGAAATGCTTTTGGTTTCTTACTTCAGTGTTTATTTCTTAAATATGAATTATCTATACTATCTATCAACTATTATCACCTTATTTTATATCAATATGGTATATATTCATTAACACATTATTATCCATTATTTATTCTTTCCTTGCTTCCTGTACCAAATGCACAGACAATTCCAGAGATGAAGGCGGGTATATGTGGTATTAAATTAGGGATTTAAAAAAAAATTCATTATAAAATTTTGGAGTTAACGTGTGTAAGAATTGGTAACCCAATCATTGTCTTGTTCTGACTTTGACAGTTTTGCATCAGCCACTGTATTCTCCAGAAATACAATTATATAGAGAAGTTATAATAACTAATGTAAATTTCCTGAGAAATGCAATTCTAGAGGAATTGAAGAATATGTGGAGGAATACTTGCAGAAACTTAGGAATGTTGTATTTGAGTCAATATAACAAACTAACCAGGAGGCACCAATGAAATGAAAAGATTTTGAAGAGAAAGATAAAAAGTTACTTGTGGCCAACTAAAAATCAGACTTTCAAAGGCAGCCCAAAGAATGATAATGCTACACTTATTTTAATTCCCATGTTTAAAAAAAAAGAGTAGGATGACTCAGTTCATGACATATTTCTGCCAAAACCATGTTTGAAAAATAAATTTCACAATGAATGAAATAAAATACTATACTACCACCACAGGATTTTAAATAGAAATAGGGATTTCTGATTCCATATGGTAAATTGAATGGATGTATCACTCCCATTCTCTCCTGAATGCCTATTAAAATGACAATCATAATATTTAAAATATATAGGCCTAAAAGACTAAAAAAACAGGGGAGAAGACACCAGGGGATAGGAGATAGCAACAGGTATTGGAGGATGGAAAGCTGATGAATTGGGAGAATAGAGGAAACTGAACATAATTTCTTCAGAACAAGGAGAAAGAACCAAGCTGCAAAGGCTCAGGAACTTGGTTTTACAGAAAGGAAGTATGAGGCACAGATCTGGAATTCAGAGAATCGTTTGAAAGTCTGCACAAGAGGCAGTTGGACCTCAAAAAGCCTGGTGACTTCCTCTTACAAATGCTCAGACATGAGATTGATCCCTTGTAGAACATGAATCAAAAAGGTTCTGAGCTTAAGGAGAGAAAAGTTTCAGAAAAGCTCACGGGGAGCTGAGGGGCCGAAAATAGGTGGATTAAGTGGAAGTATATATATTTATGGGAGAAACACACCTGCATCCTTCACCAGCCCTCTTTCCCCATCCAGGTCCTCAAATACCTGTAGCCAGGCACAAGACTTGAGGGTCTTTCTGTGCAGAAACTGAGTGACCCCTGAGAATACTCCACAAATTCAAAGCCATTGTCAGGCATGCAAGTCTCAAACAAACATACAAATTATAAAATACGGCTAGAAAGCAACCATTCAAGATTGGAGCAGGAGAGCAAAGGTTTCTAGAAATAAATTAAAAATGGAACTCAGATTATCTGACAAGTATTGGTCCATATTTAGAAAATTTATTTAGAAGACTTCCAAATGAATAATTGATACAACTATTGACTCCAGGGGAAAAGAAAAGAAGCATAATCATGGTACACGACTAGATTTAGCAGTGAAATATGTGTGGACAGTCAAAATAATGTAAATACATAATAACATTTAGCCAAATCTGTGATTTAATTATATTGGGAGGTCGGAGGGAAAGGGAGCAGCGTGATTGTATGAGAGATAAGTCCTCATTCATCAATGTGAAAAGTCAATAGATCATGTATAAAATAGATAGAATAAGGTATAGCAGCATAAGTATATAATTCTCATGTATAAAGATAAATATCACAAGACACAGGGAAAGGACTAGAAATAGGGGGTGAGACTGGCCACAGGGAGAGGTGGGTCATTTTTAAAAATTATAAGTGTCTATTATATCTCATTTTTTACTTATACTAGTGAAAAGTAGCTTATACATGAGCTTATGTTCTGTGTTTTTCAATCATTTTTAAAACATGATTGCATTTGATAAGCAAACAAAGCCATGTTTTGTTCTAATTCTATTTGGAGATTGAAATGAAGCAAACTTTGTAACTAAAAACAATGTAAAGCAATGAGACAAAATGCTGTTTTGTTTTCAAACTGAACATGCTCCTTCTTGCCCCTGCCACAGAATTGGATAAGAACATGCCTCCCCACCCTGGTAAGAAAAACAACTGTTCACTTTTTCTCATTTCCTGGCTGAGGATCTTCAAGTGTCTCCTTATTTCAGTCAATCCAATTTAATGCATTCAATCTAAACTCTTTTCTGCCTGGCTTTCAAAGCCTGTCCTTCCCTCCCCCAGTCTTCTACCTACCTAAACTTATTTTCCATTACATCACAACAGACACCTTCTGTTCAAGTTATATGGATCTCTCAGAACCCTGCATACTCTAGGCCATGCCTGTTTTCATCTTTTGGGTCAAGCTATTACTTGAATACCTGGGCCCATTTCCTCTGTACCTGGCCAAGGTCTTCTTGTGCTTCAAAGCCTGCTTCAGGATTAGCCAAGATATGTCTTATCATAATTCTGCTATTTTATCATCCTTGGAACTTTGGTTTTTATCATTACAACTTGAA